TATGATGATGAAGAAGCTGCTGCAAGTTGTGAGTGCAGCCCAGGAGGGGACTGCAAGCTGAGCAATATTAACAAAAGTGAACAGAATCAGTGATTTTTAAGAAACACTGGATTTTTATGTTAAAAATAAATAAAATGCTAAATTTCCCTTTCACTTAAAGTGTACTTCCAGAGAAACAATTCATTCTGATAATAAATATAATTAACTTACACTTAAAGTCTTTTAAAAATGGGGTTGCCTACCAATCAAATCTAAGCATTAATTTCTGTTTCCATTTCATGAAGATGGCTTTGAACCAACTTAACTTCCAGCTCTTGCTCTTTGGAAGTTCTGAGCTTCCAGGATCTCTGACTGCCACCTGTGCCAAGATAGCAACTTGACATGATTGTCAGTGATTTTTGCTTATGCAGTGCTGATGGTAAAGCAAGGTGGAGATGAAAAATGATACAATATAGGATGGCAGATTAAAAAAAAAAAACTCCTAATATGGATATTTAGCTTGCTTTGACCTGTCCTATCAGGCTTGGGCAGGCCTTGTTTTTTTTTTTTTTTTTTCCTACTTTGAGTTTTGCAAGGGCAAGGTTGGGCCAAGACAGGGTGAAGCAGAGAGGAGAAACACTCAATTTCCAGAGGCAGCAGAAAACAGAAATGCAGAGAAACATGGCAGTCTCGATTTCAATGAAGAATTGGAGACTAGGATTTTGGCAGGTTGGACTCACAGCTACAAGAAAACTGGCTGGAGTCCAGGAGGCCAAGCCCAGGGAATCCAACTCAGGGATTCCAAGCCCTGAAGCAGAATTCTCCCACATCCCTAGTTGAGACCAGGTCAATGCTATGACCACAGATGTTAGGGCTTGTTTCCCCATATGACCATAGCCCTGGATTTTGTATCATCTAGCTTGATGAAGAGCCCTGGAGAATCCAAAAGCTTGCACAGGTTTGTGGAATTTTGGTTGGTCTCAATTATCCAGCTGTGTATTTTGATTTGTTTTTCCTCATGGACCAGCAGAACATAATTTTATGTATGTTTTGTGCATACAAAGATGGGTGGTCTCAGGAAGAAGCATTCCTGCAGTTCAAAACTCAAGCCGCATGCAAATTTTAATCTTTTGAAGCAAAAAGTGATTGGTAACAATATGAAGTAAAACTGAAATCCTGATGGGGCATATGCATTTTTCTCCCGCTCTCAACAAACTCAGCTGCTGGAGTATTCACCAATGTTTCCAGGATGAAGAATACCATTCTAGGATGATTCATGTGAAGTTTTAAGTGTTATGGATATGGATACTGGTGCCATAAAACATCCAATATGACATCCTTAAGAGTGTTGCTCTGTGTTTGTGCATCTGTTTCCCCACTCTTATTCTTAAATGTTCTTACAAAGCCTCTTGCATGAAGCTTGACTAGAATATTCTACTGTTTCAGTGCTGTCAAACACCCAGAATAGTCTGCCTCTCTGTGTAGGCAACTAAATGTCATGGAATATGACTATGCAACAAATCTTGTACAGACGCACACATGTTGTTGCAATAAGTGCTACATATGTGAATTACAACCACACAGCATCTTGCCTCCCCTCTGCAAATGTTCCTGTGGAGCAGCAGGCTCTCCATGCCTCCAGCCCTCAAGCTGCAATCCTTGTTGGTCCTTCACACCTATTTTCAGAGTTAGGAGTCACTGAACCTATCTACCTAGCTCAGGAGAACTATCTACAGAAGCACAGAAAGAATCCTGCCAGGTCAGTCTATGTGCCCATCAAGCCTATATTGTTTGCAGGCTCCTAGGCAGACCTCTTTCATGGGAGCTCTTGGGTGCTGCCACATCATTCAAGTTATGGAGGCCCTACTCTAGAGGCACTGAGGAGCAAATCTCTTCTTTGGTTTCTAAAAATATTCATTCAAATAATGGCATAGTTTAATGAAACATGTTGTTGTTTTTTTAGAAAATTGTTCTCTGGGAAAAAGTTCCAGACCCTGTAGATGTCAACTTTCTGCCCTTACTTTACCAAAGAGCATGAAACTTCCCTATAAAATTTAATTTCCCAGTAACAATGAACATAAACTGCCTAAGCTGCTTCAATTTATTCCCCATTCATGGTAATAGCACCAATTATAATGGGTCCATTTAATATTAATATTCATTAGAGCAAACAAGTGTAAATCCAAGTCACCCAGAGGAAACAAAATGTCATAGAATGGTGATTGTACAGTTTAAGGAACCATTTGGAATGCATTTTGGTTGTTTTGTTAAGTCCTACAATTTTCAATTCAATTTTTTAATGCACAGGTTCTTGTAAAAGGGGCATATAGCAACATGGAAAGCTGACTGAAACTGAGCCATACCATTGATTCGCCTAGCTCAGCATGGGTTTCACTGGCTGATAGGGGCTCTCCAGGGCCCTAGCCTGAGATGGTTTTGAGCCAGCCCTGCTCCCAGGGGCCTTTAGCCAGAGAAGGAGCAGGTTGTTGTTGCTCTTTAAAAACCGCTGAACACATCCCACTTGCAGCACCAGCTCTCTTTTGAAAAGCAGCTTGCACATCCTCAAGTGGGCAATCGCTTCCATAAAATGTGCCCTTAAAAAAAAAAAAAAGAAGATGCACATTTTAAACTGCCTTTTCCAAAAAGGATACATTCCCATTGGGAAAAGTGTGCACTTTCCTGGGCACTTGGAAAATGTGCATTCCTCCTGTTCAGAAATGAACACAAAATGAGGAAGGCACTCACATCTGGGAGCAAGAACAAGGCGAGATGAGCAATGGGTGACCCCCAGTGAGGACAGGCATGGATTGTTCACCCACCTCTACTCTTAGCTTGAGAGGACAGGGATGGGAACTGCAGGGACCTCTTTCTGCATTCAGAGCATGCGCTGTGACTCCTTGCCTGGAAGCAACAGAGCCCCTGAGAGCTATAAGAAGTTACAGGTACATTTAGGTCTCAAATGGTGCCGTATGGCACCATGCAGGAGGAACAGAAGAAACAGTCTCAGCTTCATGTAAAGGGGGACATCCAGAGGAAATTCAGATCCATCAGAACGGCAAACTGAAATGGCTGCACCCTGTCTGGACACAAAGTCCCTCCATTTGTCCACTGTCCCCAGGAGTGCTCCACAGAGAATCCCACTCAGTTCATCCTCCACTGTTCTGTTGCTTTAAATTAGCTCTTTGCTCCTCTGATCTTCTAAATGGCATGAAGCTGCCTTGCTGGAAAAGTTCCTCTCTGATTCCACGGTGATTTCATTTCAGTCAGGAGGCTGCCAAGAGAGATGCATAGCAGCCTCCCCAACCTAGTGTCCCCCAGATGGTTCAGACCTCAGTTCTCATCCATCACATAGTATTATAGTTGCCCAAAACATTGCTCTGCATCACTCCATCATTGCCTGTAGCCGAGTCAGGATTCCCGTTGCCGCTCCTAATACAGTGGAAGGGACATGCCAGTGGCCTCTTTTCCAAGATCAGCATGTACCTCCAGGTTATTGCTACAAGATATACCCGCACTTACCTTTCTACGGTTTGCTCACAAAATGTTTATATGCAAGGTCACTGGTAGAGCAAGTGAATGGGGAAGTATGGACAATTTATACCTGGAAAATCCTATGCCTGGCTAACATAGATATAAAGGGGGAGAGCTCATAGCCGTGTTTAATGGGAACAGACAGGATGGCCATGTTGCATTAGCAGCACATTCATCTGAATCCTGTACCCACTTGTACCGATGTGCAAACTTGTGCCATGGGGCTAGGCTCTCTCTCTCTGTGACCTGAGAAAAGAGTCGTGTATCCCGCTGCAGGCTACAATCTATGCGCACTGGCTGGGAGTGAGGGCCTTTGAACTCGGTGGAAGAGCACGAGCAATGCCTGGCACTGTTAGTATCACCCTGCTGCTGGTTAGCATCATCAGTCATATGGCAGGCTGTGAGTAGATGGACCCTGTTTCCCCTGCCATTCCAAAAGGGCAGCGCTGCCAGTACAGCGTCTGCCTATGTTCAGTAATTATGCAGACGAGCCTGCCTGAATGCATACTGCACTTCCATTTCCTGGGGACATGTGGGAGTCATTAAGTCCAGCAAATAGCCATGCTACATGAGGATAATGAGAGTTGTAGTCCATCACACCTAGAAGGTACTTGGTTGAGGAAGAGTGGAAAATTGTAGGAGACAACAGGATGGTGTTCAATGTGGATAAGTGCAAGGTCTTGCACTTGGGGCATAGGAATAGCTGTCATAAGAACAGGTTAGGAGAGAAGTGGCTGGAGAGCAGCACTTGTGAAAGGGATATCAGGGTGCTGGTTGACTGCAGGCTAAACCTGAGTCAGCAGTGTGATGCGGTGGTCAAGAGGGCGAACGCCACCCTTGGTTGCATAGCCAGAAGTGTGGCTTCTAGATCAAGAGAGGTATTAGTACCACTCTTTACAACTCTGGTGCACCCACAACTGGAGTATTGTCTTCAGTTCTGGGCCTTGCTTTACAAGAAGCCAGATTAGAGTCAGTACAGCGCAGGGCCACAAGGATGGTGGCCAGTTTGCAGGGGATGCCATATGAGGCGAGACTGAGGTGACTGGGTCTTTTCAGCCTGGAGAAGAGGAGACTCAGAGGGGATCTGTTGGCGACATACAGGTATGTGAGGAGGTGTCACATGGAGGTGGGTAGAGACCTGTTCTCCCCTGCAGAGGAGGGCAGGATGCAGTCCAATGGAGCCAAGCTCAAGGAACCCAGGTTCCATTTGGATGCCAGGAAGCACTTCCTGACAGGACCTCGAGGGTATGGAATGGGCTTCCACAGGAGGTGATTGAGGCCCCATTGGCTAGACATGCACATGATAGGCATGTCGTGAGTGGAGCCGGCTAGAGCCAAGGATCAGACTAGATGGGCTGGGAGGTCCCTTATGACTTGCTCTGTTTTTCTGTTTCTATATATTTAAACTATATCTGTAGATGGCTTTGCCTGTTACTTTGTGTGTGTGTGTGTGTTTCTGGTTCTTCCAAATTATCATTGTCTGTACTTACCCTGTTGGAATCCATTCTTGCCCTCGATGTGTAGATGGGTGGAGGAATGTTAAAAGCCTGAGGAACTAGATATTCTTCTGCATCCATCATATCTTCCAGATCTCCCTCATCCAGCAGATTCTGGAAAAACTTGCTGTCATTTGGGCTTGGGAGCTTCATACGATCATCACCCTGGACGGGGATGGAGAAAGAAAAATGGAAACAGTGATCAGACTTTCTACTCCAGCTTCTGGCACTATATGGTTCCGGTTGCCTGAAATCACTAAGCAAGTGTATTAGACTTTTTCATTTTTCCTCTTATCAAATTCTATTATCCTTTTGACAAATACAAGGAAACAGTTTCACAAATGAAGAAAAAAATATTCTCAGTCAAATATTGAGCATATGATGATAGAGATGTGATAGCCGTTATCCATCAAGCCAACTGCACCCAGCTCCCACTTAAAAAAATTATTGCATGTGGGATCATTCCAGAATGCATGTCAGAGAAATCTGCTATGGATTCAGAAGAGTTCATATTTTTATTAATCCGAATTATGGATTCCACAATGGATCAGCTTTGTAAAGTTGCATAGATTCTGTAAACTTGCAGATGGTGTTTGCTTTCGTTGTTTTTTCTTTGTCTCCATTTCTGGTTGCTGCTTGACATAATTGTACACAAATTCGGCTGTAGATTTTTTAATGACTGGAAGTACACTTCCCTTGCCATAGACTAAAGTATGAAAATACACATTTTGGGGGATTTGCATATTTCCAGAAGTACAAATTGTGCAAATGTATATGAATGATTTGTGAAAAATTTGATTTGGTCAGCGAGTGGATAAAATCTGCACCCCTCCTCTGCATGAGGAATGCCCCAGGTTGAGCCTCCAGCATCTCTGGTTAAAAGGGTCAGGTAGCAGGTGAGGTTGGGAATGGTTTCTCTCTGCCTAAAGTTCTGGGAAGCTGCTGCCAGCTACATTAGTTAATGCTAGACTTGATAGGCTAGCTGATCTGGGGTAAAGCAGCTCTCTGAGCCAAAAGTGAGTGTCACATGACACAATCCTATGTATGTTTAGACAGGAAAAGCTCAGGCTTTTCCAGCCACATGTTCCCTTGTGTAAACACACCTAGGATCACACCCTTGCCCAATAGACACTACCTCAGCTTGTGGTGGTGGTTCAGCACGAAGATGCCTCTTTGTGCAAGAGGCGATAACAACAAAATACAGTGTTTGCTGGTAAAACCCTACTTGACACTGAAATCTGGATTCTGATTTGAATTTTAGAAACAAGAACTGGTCCTTGTGGGTACGAAAGCCTGTGACTCCAGCAATGGATTCTTGGCTGATTGGCCTCCATTTCATTTTCTTCAGTCCCCCAAGGGCCTAGATGGTTGGCTTTTTCTGTCACATAGACCTGGTGTTGCTTACTGTGCCAATAGAAACATTAACTTTGGGAGACCTACAGCACATGCTTTTCTAAGCAACACAGTTTAACAATCCTGGTTCCTGGCATTCAGCCGTTTGATGTAAGCCATTTTGAGCTAACAGTGGCCAGAAAAGCCCTTAAATGAGCAAAAAGAATCAATTCCTTTTACTTCCACCTGAGGTACTACCACACTGCTTATAAGCCTCTGCTAAACATTGAATATTAAGGTAGTGATTTTTATGGCTGCTTTTGGTTTTGGGGAAGGGAGAAAAACATCCATTTGGCTGTTGTTGTTCAGCTTAATGGGAAAATCCAGTATCCATCCATCCATCCATCCCTCTCTAAATCACTTACAGGGCACATGTAATGCAAGTGTAAAAAGGGTATCAGTATGAAGCACAATAGACCATTATCTTGGGAGTTCATTTTATCTTTGTTCTTCTGTCTGGTGATAATATAATTACATAGGCAGCATTGGGAGAAAAGTTAACCCACCCTATACAGCAGTTCAGCTAAGTGAGGGGAAGGGAAGTTGGCTGGTAAAACGATTACTCATAATTATCTGCTGTGATTGATATTTGTAGCTAGCAACCTAGCTAATTCCTGTTGTCATCCTTACATACCAATGAGCACTTTCAGAAGCCATGGACTGCAATAACTGCTGCAATATACATAAGAAATAGCGAGCTAATTGGCATGACATGCCAGCCCATTGTGGGTTGTTTAACCGCTCCTGAGCTAAGGTTCACACCACTTAGCCTTCTGAATATGCAGTTCCTCATCAATGGGTTGCTCTGTTATCCAAACCCAAACACTGGGGCTTATGCAAGCTTAAATAACCCTCAAATAACCTTTGGCTTATGTAACCTTTATGTAATCTAAAGTGGTTGTGTTCACATGACACAACCCCACCTGGGAGTTGCATATTCAAACCCAGCATATATCAGAGAAGAGTTTCAGCATGTTATGCAAACTGTGTTACTGGGCCTTTAGAGAAGTGGACCGCAAAGGCACAATGCAGGTTTAGCACCAGAAGATGGGAAGATGGATCCAGTCCATATGTTGTGGCCGTTCCTCAAGCCCCTGCAATCCCCGACACGTTCCAAAGCAGTCCAGGTAATGGGAGACCTGTTACGGCCACATCCATTGCCTCCCTCTGTTGTGAAGTTACTTGAGTAGGCATTGCATGATTTGACCAGTGGAGGGGAGGCATTATGTGGGCACCCAGAAGGCCTGCACAGACCCAAACTGAACTCTCCATGTGCAAGCAAGTGATCACCCTGTGCCATGCAATCCTAAGCCCACTTGCTTTTGAGAAGGACCCACTGATTACCAGGGACAGCAAAGGCTTCTGGGCTGTGCTCTCCTTTCAGTCCTGAATGCACACAATGGGCTATTGGATCACTGCCACAAAGTAGATGGAATGGGGGCCTCTTGGCCAAGACAAGGGTTTCCAGGTGTCCCTGCATGGTTTAGGGGGAGCAACATAAATAGAAGGCTAATGCTGATGTGTTTAAGAGGGAAGTGGAGGTTTGACTCAAGCCTATGCATTTTGTAGGTGTCTTTGAACTCCTGCCACTGCTGTTTATCTTGAGTACCCATGGGAAAGGTGTGTCAACAGAGTAATCTTGACACCACTTCACAACACATGTTGCTAGGTGCATGCCTACCTTTAGTGTTTTTGCACATTTGAACCATGTTTGTAACAAGCAGGTGTTTGAGCACAGATGGATCATGCAGGAGCATCAGCGGAGATCAGGACAGGCTGCTGCTCCTCAGCACATGTTAATATAATGGCAAACCTGGCCTGTCCCTGTAGAGACAAGGTTACAACACTGAGGAGTGCTCACCTGAATGACCAGGTATCTCTGAGGATCTCGAGCCATTCTGGAAAATTCAGCAGCCAGCTCCTTGAACTTGGGCCGACTATCTGCATCAATCATCCAACCTGAGAGAATAATCAGGGAAAGGAAAATGGGCTCTTGTTAATAACAAGCACTTGAATGTTCACCAATAGTTACATAAAACAATGCTTATGAGGAGGTATAGAAACAGGGCAACATCTAGCAGGAGCAAAGCAATTGCACACATTGCACTGATTTGATTAAAAGCTGCTTTAATTTCTGTCCAGACTGGAATATATGGGACTTAATAGCACTTAATTTGGGGCTGCATTATGTCTTCATGGCATAAATTGTTACTTGAGTTCTCTCCACTGTCTTCATGATTCAGTCAAGATTTTCACTTTCTACCACCTTCTGTGAGTATGCCTTCACTTTCTTTTCCTAAATCCCTCTTCCCTAATACACTTTGAATTTACCAGAGGATGAAATACAGAGAATATTAATCAAAAAGGCATCTCTCTGAATTTAATTCCAAGACAATATGCTGTATGACCTAACTGTGCATTCATTTTTCTGAAATCCTTCTTTCCTCCTTTGGATTGTCCTCCCATCCTGACATATGAGGAATTCTTCTCTTAAGGTTGTGGCCACTTGAGTTACTGTATTCTTTGGAACATGTTGCTCATTTTTGCTCTCTGTGTGAAACACACTACAGTGTCGCTGAGGTTTCAGTGTGGGTCATTCCAGGAGACTGGATGTGTTGCACTGCAAACCTCTCCTACCCAGCAGCTTCTGAATTCCACTTCAAGCCACTTCAGTTGGCTGATTTGTTACTGCTGTGCAAATCCTGGTCCGCTGTAATCCTCCCAAACCAACACAATCACAATTAATCTGATACAATTCCTGCTATATTCCAAAGAATTCTGAGCTCAGAGACGATGCTATGTTCTCAGAAGCATAAAGTAGAATGGCTGATAAAGATGCAATCCTGTCCAGCCCTGTATTGGTACCTGTCCCACACACCTGCAATCACGTAATCATATCTGTGGGTGGATTGGACCCAGAAAGCACATCTGTCAATTCAGAGCAGGGCTGTCAATGTTGCTGCTACCTAGAGATGTGCCATGTATTGTTTCCTCATCTCTTTCTTCTTTTTGGCTCTTAGGAAGGCTTATGAGGAACAGCTACTCTCTTTCACTTCTCTACTGCATGACAAAGGGCACAAAGTGTTACTAATAGGTACATTCTGTTCAGCAATAGCCACTAGTTTATCTTAGAGCAAGCCTTTTCTAGGAGAAGATAGTATCAGCAATTTTTGAGGAATCTGTCATTGTATGGCAGGAAGTCGAAATAAAACGTGTCTTATCTGCAGCCATTCATACCTGTTTACATAGTCTGCAGGACTTGTGAACAATACCTGGTTGGCACTGATGAAGCTGTATGCACAAAATGGGAATAGAATGGTATACCACACATTCATCTGAAGTATCTCCTTGAGCTATCTCCAATTGATCATGTCCAGATTCTCTGAGATCATAGTATGGCTATTATGCTATCTCACTGTTGTAATCCATAGGAAGATGTATGGACATGTGGGCCTCTCCTTTGTGTAAACCAGTGTGTACACTGCAGGGCAAAGATGTGCTTATCTGTCTGTGTAAAGGGCCCACCAATGCAATGCATCTCCACCAAAAAGGGGTGGATGGATCACGCAGGTAGGATGTGTGCATACGGGGCCTTGTGCCAAGGATGATTCTCTATAAGAAGTGGAGAGATAGGCAGGAGCCTTACTGCACATCAAGCACCCTTGCTGGGAGACAAGTAAACACATCCAAATCCCTACAGATATGAGGGGGGACCCAAAAAATCCCAGGAATTCATTTAGTAAAAATCATGTATTTGTTTTTACATGTTAAGACTTCAGTCACTTTCAAAGTATCCTCCTTGTGATGCAATATGCCTATCGAGATGTGTTTTCCACTGTCAAAACAGGTCTTGCACTCATTGATTTTGATGCCTTTTAGTGCTTCTGTCATTTTTTGTTTCACCTCTTCCACATTGGCGAAACATTTCCCTTTGAGGACTGTTTTCATCCAGAGAAACAAAAAAGGATGCAAATCAGCCATCATGCAATAGCCAAAAGTGTTGAAAGAGCCTCCAAAAAAAGCTCACTGAAGCTGGACACAGCCCCTCACAGAACCCTGCTAGGTGCATGGATGCAGACTGGCTCCTAGAACCTTATGGGAGAAGCCTGGACTACAAGGGGCCCATCCTCCAGAAGATCATTCCTGTTTTTTTTGAGTCCCCCCTTGTCAACTTCAGAGAAGCAGGGACTAGGAAGGTAATGGAACCTCTCCTGACTATGGTTCCTGGCCTCCAGACAGCCTGGCCCTACATGCCTGTCCTCCAGTGGCCTTGCTTGTGCCAAAAGGAACAGAAAAATCTCGTCTGGGCAGGTCTTTCTGTGCAGCAGAGAACACGTGTATCTACCATGGTCCGCAGGGATACCACCCTACCTCAAACCAATGCAAGTATGCCTCCTCCTCATCACCACCATCGTTGCCATCGTGGTACCCCATACCCCCCAAAATCAATTTTAATATCCTATGTGTCAGATTATTTTTTTCCCTCTGCATGTCAAACAAATTCCCAAGGCTGTTAACATTTTGCAGAAAATCTGAGGTTATACCGTATTTTTCCTTGTATAAGATGATACTTTTTCTTAAAAATATTTTAAGGGCATCTTATACACGGGAGGCCGAGAGGAGAACTGCAGGCGTGCTCAGCGGGGTGGGAAGACTGGCGTGATCTCAGGCGTGCATGTGGGGAGGCGGGGAGGTGGTGTGCGTGCGCGGCAGCAGCTTGCTTGCTCAGAGAACAGCAAGAAAAGTGGGAGGCATCCTATACATGGGGGTGTCTTATAGAAGGAAAAATATGGTAAGCACTCAATTTCCAAAACAGGGTCTGAGATTCTGGCCTGATTCTCTTTGAGACATTTAACTTTATTTGGGCTGTACCACTTCAGACTGCAGTTGGTGGCTCACATTTTTGAATTGTCCTGCATGCAAAATAATTCCATCCATAATTTCCATAGGAAATACCATTCCTCACATAGTATGTGAGGACAAGTGTTCTGAAAGCAGAGATTTATTATGTGTGCAGCAACTTTCTATCATGTGAGTCCCACTTGCAGTCTGAAGCGGTTCAGCCCAGACACGTTTTGCCACTCCCATGAGAACTAGGCCTCTGTATCAAACTTCAGCATGGAGGAAGAAACCACAGTTCTGCCCAGTGCTTTCCAGCATTTCAGTTTGGATGAGGAACTGCAGGGAATGTTTATCAAATTAGCAGATAACATGAAATTGTGTGGGATAGCTAAAATCCCAGAAGGCAGAAGCAACATTCAAAGTGATCTTGATAGGTTGAAGCATTGGGCTGAAAATGAAATTTAACATGGATAGATGCCAAGTTCTGCACCTAGGAAAAAGAAATCAAATGAATAGTTACAGGATGGAGGATGCTTGGCTCGACAATTCTACAGGCAAGAAGGATCCTGAAATTGTTGTAGATCACAGGCTCAATATGACTGAACAGTGTGATGTGGCTCCCAAAAAGGCAAATGCCATTCTGACCTGCATTAGTAGAAGCATCATTTCCGAATCAGGTCAGGCACTAGTTCCTCTCTACTAGTTCCTCTAGGTGAGTTGGCTCATTTGGAGTGCTGCATCCAGTCTGGGGCACCACATTTTAAGAAAGACACAGACAAACTGGAAAGGGTTCAGAGGAGGGCAACGAGGATGATCAGGGAATGGCAACAAAGCCCTGTGAAGAGAGCCTGGAAGAACTGGGCATGTTTAACCTTGCGAAGAGAAGACTGAGGGAGATATGATAATGCTTTTTAGTGCTTAAGCAGTTGTCATACGGAGAAGGGCCAGGTTCTCTTCTCAATCATCCCCGAGTGTGGCACACAGAATAATGGGCTTCATGTACAGAAAGGCAAACTCCAGCTGAGCATTAGGAAAGACATCCTGCCTGTTACAGCAAGATGGCGATGGAAATAATTACATGGGGAGGATGTGGGCTCTCCTGCACTGGGGCATTCCAGATGTGGCTGGACAGCATTGTTTACATTTGGAAGGGAAGGGCAACAGCATCACAAAGATGCAGAAGTTCAGGGGCTTTTGGGAGAAAGGCAGTAGGGGGTGGGAGGCCACCAGCCCACACCATCCTAATCATCCCCTTCCCTATCTGGGCAGGCACTCTCCAAGTGGTGAAAGTTGCATGTCGTGACGCTGGGGGTAGCTGAGAGGGAGCAGAGATGGATGCTGTTCTGCTTTCTTGTCCTGAATTGTCCTCTTCTGCCATTAAATGCTTAAAATGGCTGATATGCAACTTCAGAAGGAAGCCTCACCCCACAATTCCTGCTCCGAAGGAAGTGCTCCCTCTTCTTGTTCAAGTTTGTTTGTTTGTTTAGAGCTTTTAAATCCCACCCTTCAAGGTGTCTCAGTGGGCCTGAGCATCTGCTCACCACAGAAACGTGTCCTTGCTGTGCCATGGATGTAACACCATTATTTCTGCCATGAACAGGAACAATAGCTGGCACTTCCTACTAACATCTTGTCAGCTTGAGCAGTTAGCTGGATTAGCTCCTTCATATTCTTAGTTTAATGTTTTCATCTGTACACAAGAGCAGCAAACCCCACGTGGAAGAAGGGCTGTTTGTTAATCTCATTTAAATTAAGTCAGGAACACCGCAGAGACATCCTTAATTCTTTTTAAATTAGAAGCTTGAGCTTCAGGGTCACATTTGCTAGCACATGCACATTTGGGGGGGAATGTGCTGGGTGAGAATCCAGATGCAAATAGCACAAATAAAAATAATTTGCTTCTGGATCCTTGCCTGACTCCTAGCCTCCCTTAAAGATGCACATTTAGCAGCTAAAACACCCGTGTCTGAAAAATACTGACTCAGCACAGGACCACCTATTCCCAAAAGCTCAGCTTGTTTCATTATATTCACCCAAGTCCTTTTTAATAAAACATCTTGGGTTTTCTTCCTTCCTCACTATGTCATTCGGAGTCAACTTTTGCCCCTTTATATCCTTTAATATGGGACTACCTGGGTACCATAATTATGTGAAATGTTATCATCTAACAAATCAATTGTCATGGAAATGACAGCAGTTTATGTGCTACAATTTGGACTTCCCAGCAACAATGCCTGCAACAATCTGCTGGCAATAAGAATCTAAGCTAACACAAGCCTCAGTCAGATTAATATTCTTCACAATGGCGAGCCACTAGCATATCATATTCAGATATAATTTCTGTAGCCAGAATACAATGCTTTAGTGCTGCAGAAATTGTTACAAAGGACTCTCGTGACAATGCAGGCAAGTTGCACTGAATCTCTACTTCAGTTAAACTAATCCTTAGAGCTACAACCAAAGCAGAGCTACGCACATTTCACCATCACCATGTAAACATCAATGGTGCAAACGGGAGGCTGTGGCAAACGTTCCCCTTTCTCTAGCAAATCAGGAATTTCTCTTGTTGGGATTCCATCATAGGGCTTTCCACCAAAGGTCATCAGCTCCCAAATGGTGACACCTGGAGCAAAAGAGAAATAATCACATTTCAATTAATGCACATTGAATGCACATACAGAATCATGAATTAAGCCAGTGGAAGAATACAGCAAAACTTTATAGCAGTGCTTGCATTTAGGAACATGCAAACCAGAGTTGATCTATGAGGACTCGGACAGAAAAGGAGGAACTGTTTGTGACGCACTTTTATGGGCCACCACTCCGCTACCGGTGCCCTCCATCATCTCCACCACCTGTACCCAGTATGGGCCCAGTTCCTGCAGGGTAGTATCTTGGCGCAGGGTGGTGCCCTTCCGTGGCTCATGGAGCTCCCATGCAAGGAAGCCCTCCACCGCCCATGGTGGGGTGGGCAGCGTGATCGTGCTGCCTTCTTTGTGTCTCATGATGGGGGCCAGAGGAGATTCCTTGCACAGGAGCTTGTTGAGCCCAGGGACGGTGCCACCCTGCACTGAGGCACTGAATTGCAGCACAGAACCTGCTGCAGTGTGCATCCAACAGCTTCTCATTCAGAGCCAGTTGCGGAACATGCGAGGTTCTGTGCTCCTAAGGGAATCGGGTCAACTTCCTGTCATTAATATGGCAGAGAGAGCAAACCTGTTGTCCCTGCTACAACCAAGGCTAATGAAAACTCCCAAGGCTGTGCTCTCCTCTGGCTACAGTCCAAAAGCCACTGCAAGAGCTACACTGAAAAGAATGGCAGAGGCTGTGCACTCTGTGTTGAGCAGACGTCACCAGCCTGATTCTCTCCAGATAGTTTGGTCTATGATTCTCAGCAGCACCAGCCATGGAGAGAGCCAGGCTGGGGAGATTGCTGACCTGCTTTGTTGTTGCTGCGGTTGTTTTAAATCTGATTCCATCCTATCCTAAGGTTAAGGTGGGGGTGGGCCAACATGTACCCTGCATGCAGCCCCACTGTTGCACTCCCCGCTGCCTCCACTTAAAACAAAAATCTTATGCACAGTAGCTTTGGAGTGCCCAACTACCAGACATGGGCATGTTGTGAGCGGAGCCGGCTGGCGCCGGAGGTCAGACTAGATGGCCCAGGAGACTCTTTCCAACTTGCTCTGTTTATATGTTTCTATAACTTGTTCTCAAGCTAAATTTGCCCTACTGGAGCGTCATATCACTGCGGACTCCCTGTGGGGTTAAATTTAGCTTGAAAGTAAGCTAAATGTAACCAGGACAGTGCTCTGTGAAAATGGATTGAAAATGGCCCCAGACCTTTAGAAACTATCATCCCTGGTTTAAGGGTATAAGTTAAAAACAAATATATTTTAAAAGTTCCCTAAATGCATAAGAAGGTTTAAAACTGGAGTCTTCACATTTGACCATTGCAAACCTCTGTAGGTATCCCCAAAATATTATTTCAACTTATCATGATTTAAAAACCTGGGACTAAAAGTGAGGATGCAGAACAAGTATGATCAAACACAAAGAAAAAATGCATTATTTAGAGTGAATAAAGGGTGGGAAAGTTACTGGAAATGCAAACAAAGAAGAAGAGTTCCTACTTTTGATTTTTCATGAAGAAAAAAAAAAGAAAGTTCTGATTGAAAATTATTATTTCCAAGGTAGTATATCATTTTCTCTAACTCATAGCATCAATGTTTTCCCAAACCAAATAAAGCTATATTGTTTTTACATTGCAAGTCACTCAAAATTGGTGGTTTTACACACACACACACACACACACACACACGCACGCACACACACTTATGATCTAAGTTATAGTGCAGTATTTTCGTAACTGGGGCAGTGTTTCCAAATGAACTCAAGATTACTTTTTTCTCTTCCAGCTATGAAGGAAGATAAATAACACACACCACACCAAGAGTACCTGAATGTATCCCCAAATACCAAGTTCAATATCAAAAATGCTGTTGTCCCAGCAGCTTTCTTTGTTTGGGCTTTTTAATTCTTTTATTTTAAATGTCATTTAAAATATGCCTTCAACACAGTAATCATATCTTGCAGGCTGCCATTTCTAGCCTGAAGAAAGGCAAGTAATGAATATATCAATAGCACATGATGACTGGGCTGCCACAATACGCTTCAAGGCCATGGTGGCTTAGTGTGTAGCTGGAACCCAGGACGGGCTCGTCATGGTGGCTTCAGTTGTGCTTGTAAGGCACCCTGAGAAGCCATGGCTTATGATGCGATTTGTTTGCCCCAAGGTGAGGTGCTGCTGGGTCATCCAAAATGCTCCTAGGGACACGAGGTGTACATTCCAAAAAGCAATTCTGTAGCACTTTGCAAAACACTCTTTGGAGGAGCTTGAAAAAGTGGGGCTGGGAAGCAATCCTAGCAGCGGAATCTTTGGAATTTTGTTGAGGGGGTGGTCCTGGGGTGCCCTTACTTTTTCGTGTGTGCATAACTCAGGGGCACAAAGGCTCCTATTTTGTACTGAAAAGAATTAAGATCAAAAGGAGTTTGGGTGGCACCCTCTCAATTCCCCCCTTTCCAGAAGGATATCTGGTGCTTTTGGTGAGGGATCAGAACTTCCAACAGTCCCCTCTGATTTGCCCTTGACCATGAGTGGCAAGCAAAACTTAGGTGGATATCACATGTGGGGGCTTAGCACATTTGTCACAGGGCATCTCCTCTGGTCAAGGCTGTCCTTCCCTATCTTACCAGGTAGAGCCAGAAGCTTTGTCAGGTTAATGCAAGCCTGTCAGACTCCATTAAAAGCATATTGGAAGTGTACTGCAGAAGTCCACAACCAAAGAAGCAAGCATAGTAAGAACACCAGACACTAAAAAGTGCAGGCTCTTGGCAAGACATTGATTCCAAAATGAATACCACCCCCTTCCAAACTCAGATTGCAAACCTCCTGCCTTTAAGGCAGATTCTCTTGTTTCAAGGTCAACTGCTTGGAGCACCTGGCACTTCTTGGCTGGTCTGCCCTCTTTAGTTGATGCCAAATCTGAAAGCTCCTTGCAATGGGTGGAGGAAAGGGGGAGGCACTTCCCTGCACCTGTGCTAAGCACTGGATTGGGACAGCAGGCACCCCCACCCCCCGATCAGTGCCCTTTCCAGGGTTCTTCTGTTTCAGCTGGATCTGCTCCATTTGTACAAATGGGACAGTTTCCAGTGTGTGTATGAGTGCAGCGCTTTTTTAAGGAAAACAGCAAAAAGAGAAAGGGAAAGGTCCTAGTACACTGGACAAGAAATGGCTCACGGTGGCTGCAAAGGGCAATGGAAGCCTCAGTGCTCTCATGGTGTCCCCCGGGATTCCTACAGGAGGACTGAGGGTGGAAGCAGGGTGGCAGGTCCTGGGGCATACCAGTCACGCTGCATGGCTTGATCTGCGGTGCCCACCGACATGCATACGAATGCAGGGAACAGCTTTCTCCATTGGTTACTTCCCCCTACTGCAGGTGGCCAGCACACCCTGGCTGTACGCGAGTGGGAACCAGGCCCTTAGCATGTGGAAACAGGGCCATACTGTGGGTAGGAAGTGGACACAACAGCACAGGACATGGCTGTGGCTTGCAATCTATTTTAAAAAGTCCAGAGTCCATTGTAGGAAAAACAATGGAAAGGCTCATAATAGAGAGAGATCTAGTGACGCGAGGTAGGGAAGGGAGGCTGGCGGCCACAAAACATGGTTTCTGCAAAAACAGGTCCTGCCAGACAAACCTTGTGGAATTCTACGGCAAGGTTTCGAGATGGCTAGATGGAGGGGATGCAGTGGATGTGGTTTACCTGGATTTCAGCAAGGCCTTTGACAAAGTGCCCCATGATATCCTGGTTGAGAAATTGAGGAGTTTTGGGATACACCAAAGCACTGTCTGGTGGATTAGGGCATGGTTGACTGACTGAAAGCGGAGGAGAACCATTAGTGAGGAATCATCAGGATGGTGGACAGTGACAAGCAAAGCAGGGTCCCCCACAGCTCTGCCCTGGGGCTGATCCTGTTTAATCTTTTCATCAGTGACATGGAAGAGGGGGTGAACAGTTCGCTGATCAAATTTAGCAGACGATACTAAAACTGGGGCAGTGGCCACAACTGAGGAGCAGGTACTCCAGATCCAAAAGGATCTGGACAGACTGTGGAAGTGGGCAGGAGACAACAGGATGGCGTTCAATGTGGATAAGTGCAAGGTCTTGCGCTTGGGGCATAGGAATAGGTTTCATAAGTATAGGTTAGGGGACAAATGGCTGGAGAGCAGCACTTGTGAAAGGGACCTCGGGGTACTGGTTGACTGCAGGCTAAACATGAGTCAGCAGTGTGATGCGGTGGTCAAGAGGGTGAACGCCACCCTTGGTTGCATAGCCAGAAGTGTGGCTTCTAGATCAAGAGAGGTAATACTACCGCTCTATACGATTCTGGTGTGCCTGCAACTGGAGTATTGTGCTCAGTTTTGGGCCCCTCATTACAGAAAGGTTATAGCCAGGTTAGAGTTAGTGTAGCGTAGGGCCACAAGGTTGGTGACCGGTTTGCAGGGGATGCTGTATGAGGCGAGACTGAGGGAACTGGGTCTCTTCAGCCTGGAGAAGAGGAGACTCAGAGGGGATATGTTGGTGACATACAGGTATGTGAGGGGATGTCACCCGGAGGTGGGAAGAGACCTGTTCCCCCCTGCAGAGGAAGGCAGGACGCGCTCCAATGGAGCAAAGCTCAGGGAGCCAAGCTTCCATTTGGATGCCAGGAAGCACTTCCTGACAGTTAGGGCCCCAAGTGTGTGGAATGGGCTTCCACGAGAGGTCGTTGAGGCCCCATCGGTGAGGGTGTTCAAAGATAGACTAGACATGCCCATGGTGGGCATGTCGTTAACAGAGCCAGCTGGAGCCGGGGGTCAGACCAGATGGCCCGGGAGACCCCTTCTGACTCTCTCTGTTTCTGTATTTCTGAACTCCTGTCAGAGCCAGAGGGAGCCTAAGGAGGTCAAGGGGCTACTCCAGCATTCCCTTTTTCTGAGGCCTTTGGAAGCAATCAGGAACAGAGTCGTCAGAGTCCCGTGGAAAGAGGGGGCTCTGTGCAAGATACACTGCTCCTCACAAAGCACATGGGTATCTTCAAAGAATGGGATCCCCTGTTTTCAGCCAAGCCCTCAAAATACATGACAAGTACCCTGGGCTCCTCTCCACAGGCTCACCCAGATGGGCTCCATCCACCACTCTGCCTGAACTTCCACAGATCCCCTTCACAGGCATCTCCTGCCCCAGGGGAGCGGCTTTCTGTGGTGCAATCCCACATGGCTGCCATGGATGCATGCATTCTGCAAGATCCTGAGGGTCGTGCTCAGGCAGTCGAGCAACATTCCTGTGCTGTTGTAGTATGCAGAGGCACGCTATGACTTATGCTGAGCTCCTTTCCTCCACGGACTGTTATCATTCCCACCATTGCAATAATCAGAAGCAGAGAAATATATGAAAGCACACATCCAAAGAAAGATGCAATAAAAGAGGACTGCAGCATGGGAAGACTGCAGCATTTTTTAAAATAGAAATAACTATACATACTTAAAGGCCACAACAAGAAGTTAAGAGAAAACTCTGTATGCTTAGAAAAGGCAACTGGCTATTATGTATTAAGTCACTCAAGTTATGACAGTAAATAGTGAAGTTATTTTTTCATGTGAGCATCTGCAGCATCAGGTTGCTGTGCTGTGCACTCTAACTGACAGCAAGACCGGCAAACTTCCTGGGACTGACTTCTGAGTAACAGTGCAAACGATCTCCCCCCCCCCCCCCCCCCGTGTAACCTCCAAGGCTCTAGTTGGCTGTGGCTTTTCACCAGAGCATGGTTCATCCACCCTTTCTGAATACATTTGTTTTGCTAACTAGAGCATTATCTTACAGAAGGCAAAGAGGACACCTGGAAGCCCAACCCAAGAGAAAACTCAAGAGCTGCAGCTCAAGAAAAAAGGTGGCAGCCGGCTCACAATTCCAGACCACATATTGTGCTGCTATCCACAGATAGCAATATCTAATGAGCTTTCACTTAGCACCACAAAGCCATTTTGCCATTTCAGCGCAGGCCACAAAGCTGACTACACTGTAAAACCATTTTGCAATAGTAAGCAATGACCAGTTTATTCTAATTGCTACAGGCTTCGGCTCTCAAATTACCTACAAAGGTATAGGTAGTCATGCCAGGAACAGCTGGAATAGCTGCTCTGGAGGCAAACAGCCAGGCAGATGACAATGAACTTCGGATGATATTCTAATTAACACAATTAAACAAATTCCCCAGTTATGGGTTTAAGAGATTCCTCACGCACCTGCCCTTTCCCACAAATGTTATGGCTACTTATGAACTTCAGGTGGATCCCATATTGGTCAGTCTCTGCAGTATACAGTTTAGCACCCCACCTTCTTTCTGTTCTTTGTTTTGTGTTGCAATAAATTCCCTTTTATCTGACTAAGATACAACATTCCCAAAGTCAATTTTTAGAGAACAAACTTTTTGACACAGCTTTTTGAAGCAGAGTGGCAAATTGCATTTGACAGCCATGATTTCTTTACATCTTTAGCTAACCAGAAAAGGACTTCTTTCTGTCCCAGTAATCAGCCCGATTGCTGCCAAACTAGTGTTGCAGCAATCAAGCTAGGAGGGCCACAGGGAGTGAGGAAACACAGTTCTGATTGTAGCCCAGTTGTCAGACCCTAACAGCTGTATTCAGATTTATGTTTTTACAAACAGCTGGGAAAGTGTGGAAACAAAGCTCGGGGAAAATGGCTTGTTTTATAAAAGTCAAACTAGAGGAGGACCATTGATTCTGATTTGAAGACAGTCTTGAAGGTGCTTCTCCAAGGTGTCAGGAAAAGGTCACCCATTGCTCTCCCCCAGGAAGAGCTTAATACAAAGGGGCCAGATCACATACCTGCTCTCCACCCTGTACACAGAGCTCATGTATTCAGCCACTGTGAACTATCTCTTTCTTCACATTTTTTTAAACATAGGGCAATAAACGTTAACAACATAGCGAAATAGTTTGACAAGTCACTACAAAGTTATTAGTTATTAAATATAAACACATGAATTTGCTTTACCATAGCTCCAGACATCAGTCTGATGTGTGAATTTTCGATAATGTATACACTCAAGAGCCATCCACTTAATTGGCATCTAGGGTGAAAGAAAAAAAGAAATGAAAAGCCATTGGAAAGAAAATTACATTACTCAACTAAATGCCTCCAAAATCCAGGAAAATATCCAGGCCATGGTTCCTCAAACTATGGCTCTCGGGCCGTATCCAGCCTGCCATGCCCATTTATCCAGCCCACCTCAGAGGTTTTGGACTCCCTGTGCCTCCCGCCACCCGCCTCCCATGTGCTCGCTGCCGCATCGCCACGTGGGTGGGGAGGCAGTGGCTTGCTTGCTTGGAGATGGCTGTGGACTTGCTGGGAGATCTCCGAGTGAATGAGTCACCACCACATGCGCGCCCGCTGCTGCTGCCTCACGCGCGCCCGATGCCACCTCACTGGCCTGCGCCCCCGGGCGCTCCTGCCTCACCAGCCACACCGGTCGCCGCCACCTCTCAACTGGCCCCCTGTTGAAGAACTTTGAGGACCCCTGATCTAGGCTTTCAGATCCACCTTTCAGAAGCAACATTTCATTTTATTCACCTACAAAGTTAGACTAATCTAAGGTGAGCATCAGGGTGTTTGAGTCAACTTGTTTGGAATGTTTTTTTTATACACTGTGAACACTAGTCCAAATTTTAATCCCATGACCTATTTTGAACCCTAAAATCAAAACAGAATGTCTTGCTAGGCACAGCTGGACACTGGATTTGTAGTATAGGGTCAGGCAGAACCTCCTGAGAGGAAATATGTGGCCAGGCTTTCTGGGCATCAGAACAACAGCTAGAAATAAGCACCCCAATCAAGCCATAGAAGCCCCTTCTAATCAGTTACATTATGTTGGGCTGGGAATGCCAATTCAGCTGTGCGTGGACAGGCACTTCCACAGGGCTGACAGATGAAACCCTCCTAGAGTTATTCTTCCTTCTTGTCACTGCAGTCAGCTTGGTCTCCTGCCTTTTGCTCTGGACTAACTGACAGTGCTGATGATGAGCAGGAGTTGGCACTCTCTGCTCGCTCCCTGCCCCTTCATGGATCACTGCCTTGTCGTGGCAGAGGGGCTTGTGTAGCGCAATGAAGCTATGAGCTATGCCGTGCAGGGCCACCCAAGACAGACAGGTCATAGCAGAGAGCTCTGACAAAACGTGACCCACTGGAGAAGGAAATGGCAACCCACTCCAGTATCTTTGCCATGAAAACCCCATGGACAGTACCAAAAGGCAAAAAGATATGATGCTGGAAGATGAGCCCCTCAGGTTGGAAGGTGTCCAGTATGCTACTGGGGAAGAGCAGAGGGCTAGTACTAGTAGCGCCAGAAAGAATGAAGCTATTGGGTCAAAGCCGAAAGGACACTCAGTTGCTGATGTATCTGGTGGTGAAAGGAGAGTCCGATGCTGCAAAGATCTATACTCATAGGAACCTGGAATGTAAGATCTATGAATCAAGGTAAGCTGGACTTGGTCAAACATGAGATGACAAGACTGAACATCGACATCTTAGGAATCAGTGAACTAAAATGGACAGGAATGGGTGAATTTATTTCAGATGACCATCAGGTATACTACTGCGGGCAAGAATCCCTCAGAAGAAATGGAGTAGCCTTCACAGTCAATAAATGAGTAGGAAAAGCAGTGCTGGGATACAATCTCCAAAAGGACAGAATGATCTCAGTTTGAATCCAAGGCAAACCATTCAACATCACACTAGTCCAAGTCTGTGCCCCAACCACTGATGCTGAAGAGGCTGAAGTTGACCAGTTCTATGAAGGCCTACAACAACTTCTAGAAATAACACCAAAAAATGACATCGGTATCATCATGGGGGATTGGAATGATAAAGTAGGAAGCCAAAAGATAACCGGAATAACAGGCAAGTTTGGCCTTGGAGTACAAAATGAAGCAGGGCACAGGCTGGCAGAATTTTGCCAAGAGAACACACTGGCCGGGGCGGAGCCAGCTCGGAATGGATTCCAGATGCTAAAATCTGGACTCCTCCTGATCATCGACAAAAGCATAATTAACATACACTCAAACTAAGATAAAGAAACGCTGGATAAATACATAAAACATAAGTCAATTCCTTTGTTTATCCCCTGGGAAGAATTGAAACACAGACGTGGACTAACAGTTGTTTTTGTGATCTGAAACTGCTGGGCCTTGCCCAGAGTAAGCCATATTTCAACTGTCTACGGATTGAGAAACAATGTTTATGTTATAAATACTCTGGCCACTTATAAGCTTAAAAACAGCTAGGGAAGTGGAGATAAAGAGAAGGTTACTTTCTTGAAGGGTTTTTTTTTAAATGAGAAGTGACTCTTCTCTCTCCCCCCAGGCAGCTGAAAGGCCGAGAGAGTGCCAATAC